CGGGGTCAGAGAGGGCCAGAAAGTGACAGAAGCAGTAAGGGCAGCCGCTTTTAGGGAGTTGTCACCACATGGCCGTACTGCTGCACTCTGGCATTGGTCGGTCCCAGGAGCCGTCTTTCTGACAGACTGCAGCAAAGGAGTCCAAGGACAGAGAACCCTGAATAGGAGTTCAGAAAATCCCTTGTTTACATCAATTCCCTTCCCAGAACTGAGCTGCCATGATGTTTCCTATGCTGCTGCTCTCTGCTGGTCCCTGAGAGGGTGACAGTCACAAGACTAGTGTTTGAGTCTGGTGGCACACAGGCAGGCAGGACCTGAACCAGCCCGCCAGCTCAGTGAAGACGGAAGCACGTCTGCTGCTTGAGTTGTGCTGGCTTGTGTCTCACCAGCTCAGCTGGCGAGGCGCCCTAACACGGTGTGGGGCCAAGCTGCCCTCCGCAGCGATTCTGTGCTGCTCACTGTAACCCAGAACACCAGGCCTCCGTTGCTGCCTGCATCCTGCCAGTTCCTTATGTGGCTGCCGAGGATGGCGTAAGGTAAGAAAAGGCTTGGTGCCACATTCATGGAGCAGCTATGTTTCTTTCTGGGCTGTGAGCAGAGAAAGGCCACTTAAAACACATGGGAAGGGCTGGGGAGATGGCTCAGTAGAATAAGTGCTTCCCTGGCAAGCGCAAGGGTCTGAGTTCAACCCCCAGTTCTAAAAAAAAAAGCCTTTTCCACCTCTCTTCATTGGGTTTTGCCAACTGTGATACACAGGAAAGTTGGGGGTGGTAGTGCGGGGGCTGTGCCAGAGGTTGAACCTAAGACACGCACTGTTCCACATCTTCAGCTGTCTTTCAGTTTTGAGACAAGGTCCTGCTAAGTTACTAACTAGCCCAAGCTGGGTTTGAATTTGTGATCTTCCTGCTTCGGCTCCCCAGAGTGCTAGGATTAGAAGCCTATGCCACTGAGCTACACCTATAATCCCAGCAACTGGAAGGCTGAGGCAGGATTGTTGCAAGTTTGAGACCAGCCTGGGCTACAAAGTGAGCTCAAGGCCAGCCTGAACTGCATAGTGAGACTCTGTCTCAAAAAGACAAGAATAAGTTAACTAAAAAACAAAATTATGCCACCACACCCTGCTCCAGGCAAACTTTGCTTCTGAAATAGTGTATGAAAGATAGTGTTGGCAGATTTATGGGGTGCTTTTTTTTATGCTTTAAAAGATAGTAAGATTTTTTTTTTAATTGAGAATCTGAACAAATTTGCAGTCCAAGGAGTTAAGGAAAAGAGCCTGGCCAAGAAGTCTGCAAGGTGGGAAATTTTTTTCCTGGTTTGACCCTCCACAGGACTACGGACTGCATAGCCAGCTATCATTTCAATGTTATTACTTTTTACCACTGGGATTCAGTGACAATTTTGAAGAACATAAAGAGGACACGTTAATCTCTTACCTGTGCCCCTAAAGCAACACGCTAAGCATTTTTTAAAAATTATACTCCCTCTCCCTCAACAATGATCACTATTTATAACTTTGCAGAATGTACTCTTTCCCAGGGCCATCTCATTTTTTGCCGGCCCAGGAGCTGTTTCGTGAGAAGGTCATCAGTTGAGCAAGGGGAGGACCTTAATTTAATCCAAGGTGCTATCCAAGCTCACAGAACGAGGGTAGTGAACTTGAACTTGTCTTTCTGTTGTTTCAGCAGCTAGAAAGGTGTGAACAAACAAATGCTGCCCGTTTTGATCATCAGCTTTCCAAAGTGGCCTAAACAGCAAAAAAATGGGCCCGGGATGGGGGGCAGGGAGCTCGCCGGAACTGCGCGTGTCTAGTACGCACGAGGCCTGGGCTCCAGCGCCAGTGCCAAAATCATGCTTTCAAATTCTTTAAAAGTCAGGACACCCAGAATAGACCTCTCCGTGCCATCCCTCTTGCCCGGCACCGACTTGCTTTTTGTTTTTCACCATTGAAACCCTAGCAAGAAGCCACCGTGCTGCCCCCACGCTCTGCCCACCGGGTAGGCGCGGGAACACGACTCTGCCGTCGTGGTCACGGGCATCGGTTCCGTGGTCACTCACGTGCAGGAGCTCGTAGCCGACCTCGCAGACGACGGAGAAGCTGTCTTGGAGGACGTACTTGTCTTGCACGGGTGAAATGTGGCCATTAGGTGGCGCTACCGGCTGCGGACACGGCTGCGCTGCGCGGAGGAAAGCAGGCTCTGATTGGGGTGCGGCCTGGGCAGCTGGGTCTGAACTCAGAAATCTGAAGTTCTTGGTTTATAAATGAAACGCTAGATAAAGACACGCTCGCACAAGTACAGGGGCGTTCCGAACGCGAAAGGCAAGGCAAACCTCGGCGGCTTCGCCTGCGGGAGCACGGACTTGAAACCCAGAGACTGCAGGGAGGGGCGTGCTCGGCTCTTGGGGCCCGGAGGGGCGTGGAGTTCGGGGGCAGAGCTCAAGGCCCTGGGTCTGAGCCGCAGCCCAGGAAAAAGGAACCCCAGGTTAGTGCGTCCTCGGTGCTTGGCTGAGGACCTGAAACGAGCGGTGGCGATGACGCTTCCCAGGGCCCTACCGGACACCACAGCACGGGAGACACCCAGGATTCAGCCACGGAAACCCAAGATCCAGACAGCGCTCCCCGAAGCATGGGAGCCACCAGGAGCCACCCGCCCTGGTGCCCTTCCATGAGTCCTTGCTGCCCTGTTAGCTCCAGGCTTTCTCCCCTGGGCAGCTGACCTCCAGGCACAGCCAAGCCTGGGGTGGGGAGCAGCCTGAGAGGGGATTTGGGGTCCCACGCTGAGCCCCTGACCCTCCCACCCCCTGCGCCTGGACTCCTGAGCAGCAATGCCTCTGGGCTCACGCAGGGCTCTTCCCTCAGCCTGGAACACCCTTCCCCTCCTCCACGCCTGCTCTTCCGACAGATCTAGCCTCAGATGTTTCCTGATTCAGGGCACATTTCCTAGCACCTGGCCAGGCATCAGCTCCTCCTCTGGACTCACCATGCCCAGTGCGTGGCTCTAGAGCCATGTTTGCCACAGAAGTCATTGTGTTGCTGTGACTGCTCACCCACCACTGGACTAGGGGCACAGGCCTTGGGGACTGTGCGTCAGCATTTCCTATCCCTGTTACACAGCTATAGGAAGGGAAGATGGGTGGATGGATGGCTGAGTGGATGGGTGGGTGGTTGGGTGGATGGATGAGTTGGTGGGAGGATGGGTGGATGGACAGATGGATAGATGGACTGATGAACAGTTGCACTGATAGCTGGGCATGGTGGTGCACATCTGTGGTCCCAGCCCTCAGGAGGCTGAGGCAGGAGGATCATTGGGAGTTCAAGAACAGCCTGGGCCACAAAGTGAGCTCAAAGCCAGCCTGGACTGCATAGCAAGACCTTGTCCTAGGTTTTTTGTTTTGTTTTGTTTTGTTTTGTTTTTAAATGCATTGATTGGTGGGCCGATGAGTGGCCGGATGGGTGGTGGATGTAGGTAGACGGTGGATGGGGGAGGCAGAGGAGAAAGGGATTCTTGCTAGTTCTTCTTCAGGGATCATCACCTCACAGACCTTCCAACTCAAGTCTGGTCTCCCTTCCTGGCCTGGCAGGAAGAGTCCCATCCCCGGTGTCTCCATGATCCTCCGGAAGAGGCCGAAGCGTCTTCCTTTTCCCCCACCCCCCGAACCAGGGACTGAACTCACGCCCTTGTGCTTGCCAGGCAAGCGCTTATTTCTACTGAGCCATCTCCCTGGCCCCCGAAGCTTCTTCCCTGGACCTGTGCTCACCTGTACTTGTGTAGTGGATCTTCCAACCTCTGTTGTCCCCTGAGTCATCGGTGACAAACGTGATGGTCACAGCGTTGCTCTTTGTCTCAATCCTGCGGGGCGCTCTCTCTCCACACAGTGGGCCGTACTTCTCTTTGCCTGTTTGAATCTAAACCGGCACAGGCCTGTAGCTCCAGCACAGTGCTGCCAGGGGCCGGGCCCAGCAAGAGGGAAGCTACCACGGTTCCTGGGAGCAGAGAGGGCAGCCCCTGGGTGGTCCCTCCCTCTATGTGGAATGTGGCTGAGAGGTTTGTTTTTTTTTTTTTTTTTT